ACCTTCAAGACAACGCTGGACGGATCGTGTTCGTTGAAAAACTTGCACCGCCGGCTCAGACGGACGCACGGCGACAAATTTCTCAAGACGATCATGGCTCCGTCGACGGATTCGGGCGGAAAGATACAGCTGTACGTCATCGTGAACAAGTTATCGACGCCGACGTCCGGTATGTGTGCGGGGCGACTCTGGAATTTCTTGAAAACTCTATTCAACGTCGTCTGTTCGATCGCGTTCTTCACCGGAATCTTATCGCACTTGTACTTCCGCGACGACAACGACGACGACCAAGCGCCTAACGCATAGAAGCCGATCGATTACCAAACTTACATGTTATTTCGAAACTGACGGTTAGACGAAAGACGAAAAATGCAAACAGTCGAAAAGCCAACGTATCACACCGGCCGTCTGGCAGCGGCTGTTGCCCAACGCGACATGGAGATCGCTCGCATGAAAGCCGATCTCGAGTCAATATCCGAACGCAATCGAATCATCAGGCAGGAACTCTCTATGACGATAACCGAGACGGAGCGACTGGCTACCACGTTGTCCGGATTGAATGAGCAAATACAGGAATTGATCTGGCAAGATTCGTTATCGGTATCCGGGAGAGGTTGAACAGTTATTATCTTTATTTATTTTTTTTTTTTTATAAATAAAGATTTTAAAAACAATAAAAATTTTAATCGTCTCTTTTCATTTCTATTCGTATTATGTCGAGAGAGTAGTTGATGGCTGGAAAGAGAATCGTGGCATTTTGCAAATATTTTTTGCCCGACCGCAAGGAAAGCGAGTGCGAATACTTCGTTCTGCCACCACTCTTTCCTTGCACGATATGTTTTGACGCTCCTGTCAGCGTCCTAGCCGAGCCGTGCGGTCACTTAATTGCGTGCGAGATGTGCGCATGTCGTATCACAACGTGTTGCGTGTGCCGTACGTTCGACTAGGAAGCGGTGTACGACACTTACGAAAATAAAAAAAATAAAAACACTTGAGAAGCTTGCTAATATTGATATTTTTTTCATTCCTGATGATGACATAATTAATGTCGAAATATTGAATCCCAACACGATGGCGTGCATTTCAATACTTGGAGTATGTATTATACTTTCTTATGTAATTTACCTGTTATGGAAAATTAGAGGTTAAGTGTGTGATTGTTCATTGCAATAACATAGTTAAGGATGTTCATGCTATGAAAAAAATATGAAGTATGTGTAATATGTCCTAAATGCAATATAAATACACTGTAAGTAGTTTAAAAAAAATGCTGAACTGCCCTATTAGAAAAAGGGTAGATGTTTTCACAAAATATAAAATGACAAGAATCCTCATTCATAAAAAAGATAGATTTTTTCATAAAATATCAAATTAGAGGAATCTATTTTAGGGGTGTTATAAAACAAATGAATGTTTGTTATTCGTGAAATGGACAGAACATTTCATTCATTGAACACTTGACTGTTCCATACCACTTGACTTAACTCATGAAAATATTCTTCCCATTGCACTGAATAAAAATTCATTATTTGTATATTAGTTAATGGAATACTGACCGACGAGTAAATTTCAATACAGTAGTTGTATTTTTCATTACCAAAAGAAAGTGTTTGTTTACAGGCTTTCCTATTCATACCTGAATTTCTGTTTGGAAACTTATACTAAGATGAACATGATTTTGAAAAGTACGAGTATATTTTTATTATTTTAAAAAAATAGAAGACAATTTAAAATCTTGTTAGTCGTCCAAGGGGCGGCAGATAAACCTACAAAGTATTATGGCAAAAAATGTATTATTTGTGTGAAAATATTTTATATAAAGTATTTATTACAGTACAGTATGGGTTTGAATAAATAATACCGGTTTATGTATTATATTTGTACATGTGTAGAAGTAAATTTTTCATGTATTTTGTTTTGTAAGTTTGTTGATAAGGCCAATTTAAATTAAACTAGTTTCACATCTCCACTCACAACAAATTTAGAAGCCTCGTAAAAAAAACATACTATTTGCTATTTAAAAAAAATCATTTGTTCATGGAAAATACAAATATTCACGATTTGAAAGTGTGGATAAGGATACCTGTAAGAGTATGCCTTCAACAAAACATAATAATAAATAAATATTATAATAAATATGAAACAATGTTGACCTGGAGTACTTAGTAAAATATCCTGTATTCTTCTACTAAATATATTTTTAATTTTGTGTTCAGTGGACTGTACAATGTTAAATTTATTAAGTAAAATAAATTGGGAAGATTGATTACTTACTATAGCCTTGCTGTCACTGGTGCTGAATCTTGCTAGTTGCTGATGATGGGAAAACCACATGTGTGATAATGAGATTGTAATGACACCACTTATACATTACACCCATCCCATTAAAGCAGTAATTATCTACTTGGCAAAACCTGGTATGAACTAAACGTCTAGCGACCACAACTCTATTCTAGTCTATTCGAGTCTAAGTTTGAATTGTCTTCAAACATATATATTACTCTGCGTTCTAAGTCTTACCGTGTTTCTTCTGTCTTAACCTTTTGGACAATGGATTACAACAAACGACAAGAAACGGAAAATGGTTTTGGATTCCACTGATGTTAATCATAAGGCCGAGGATTTCTCTTAAGTTTTAAAGGGTGGGTACAACAAGAAATTCCTAACTATCATAAGAGAAAGCGTAACGCTGATAGACCCTGGATGACGCTAACGGTTAAAAGTTTAATTGACATAAGACAATTAATTTGTAACAGGTAAGGCAAAACCAATGGTTACACAACCTGGTGCAATCTGGAATTAGGGAGGCGAAAGAGAAATATTAGATTGTTATTCGAATCATCATTATTGGTGATAAGAGTGTCCGCTAAACAGTGTATAAAAAGTCTCGGCTAAGCAAGGGCGTCGATCCGTGGTTAAAAGTGTGGGGGGGGGGGGTGTGCGAAATGAAAAATAAAGCCTTTGGCCGTACGCCCAAGCCTTGGTTGGGGACCAGGGGGCGAAGCCCCCGGCTCTGGCGCCTATAGTCTTTCAATTGATTTTAAGCAATGCAATTAACATTTATTTCCATACGAAATTTTCAAAGTATCCAGTGGCAGATCCAGTGATTTGAAATAGAGCTGGGCCCAGAGAGGGACCTTTACAGATGGAGAGAGTAGACCACCTCAGCCCCACCATGGTTGAGGCTGAGTAAGAAAATTTATGATTCTGTAGTTGTAAGGAAATGGCACTCTCAGACTGAATTTGAATGTAATTTTAATTTTTTTCCACTTTTAAATTTTGGGGGAAAAAAAGGATTGTGTGCCGGCTGGGCCCATTGAATCTGCCACTGAAATACGCATCATAAAAAGTTTTTAAAATTATCCTTTTAGTCATAATTATGCTCGCTTATATATTTCGTGCAAACTAACATTCATAAAAAATAATGATTTATTATCTATTGATTAGCTTGTGGCGTATTCAAAATTCGAACCATGAAAAACAATTAAGATAAGCTTAAAACAATCATTAATTTTAATAGTTTTTTTGCATGTACAGTACTTTTAAAATCAATCAAGAAGTTTTTGCTTTTCTCCTCTTTTTGAATTTCACTTTTGTGTAAGTAATATTGCGACAACACTATTGTGAGTGTAAATAATGCTGTCTAATTTACGATCTAACAGGACTATGGAGATAGGGAGTACACACAATATTAAAAAAAAAAAAAGTGGTATAGCCGTATTAGTCAGAGTATACTAACGAAACAAATGAGAAGGTTGCACTTTTTTGACTAACGATGAATTTTAATTCACAAGCTTTCGCCCCAGTCAATGGGGCTTCATCATGTGAGTCAAAATAATAGTTTAGCATTTTGATTTCACAAACATAAAGGTGATTTACTTAATTTATCATTATCAGTGGCGGCTCCAGGAAAGGGGGACAGGCAGGGACTTGCACAATTTTGGAAAGTAGATCACCTCTGCCTCACCATGGTTGGGGCTGAGGAAAGAAAATTTATGATTTTGACACTTCTGGATTGCCGGAAATGGCACTCTCAGACCTAAATTCTAATTATAATTGTTCTTTCCATTTTTTTAAAAAATAATAATAATTTAGGATCAGCTCCACTTGAATCCGCCACTGATTATTATGACGTCATTGTGAGATTGCGTCAAAGTAACACTGGAGTTGTAAACTATCACTAAATCGAAATAAATATGTCCGTGTCAAATGCTGTATAATTATTGCTTAATAATGGCTGTATAAAATTCAATTGACTAACTATAATCAGGGAACAGTGAAATTTCACTGTTGCCTGCTATATTTTTTTGAAATTAGGAAAAACAGTAATCCTATACACAAGTCCGTAACACTAGTACGGGTCATAATAACATACAAAAGGAATAAATCGTTTATTGTAGAAATTGTGCACTTTCGAGTTTGCAAAAATATTGGCCTAATAAGTATACACGCTTCCAATTTTAACAACGTTCAGTACATTGTATTCACAATAAATTTAGTCTCTGATAACCGCTGCACCCATAAAATCGATCAAGTTGTTTCTGAGATGGTTACGAAACGTATAAACAATTGCGTTTTTACACTCGGTTATGGTCCGGAAAATACGTACCGAACAGACAAAATTCATGAGTCATGCGTAATTGTTATTCTTTACATTCGCTTTTAAAAGTGGGGTTTTGATTATAGAAGATTGGTGAAAGGTGGTGGGGGGGGGGGCAATCGATATGATGCTCCCCTACTTTGAAAAGTAGGGGGGACGTGTCTCCCCTGTCCCGTGCGGCTAAGGAGTAATATTGGGGAATGTCACCTGCTTTGGTTTCAGACACACGCCGCAACGCACCGTAACGGCAATATTGCGTTAATATTACTAGGTCTGAGACAGAAGTACGCCTTTAACCACAATATTGCGACTACGGTTAGTGCAATATTATGATTGGATGGTTTCGTAAGGGGGTTGTAGGTGGCATGAATACTTTCAATGAGATACATAACAACAGTTCTTTTGGCACTATGCTGCAAAGCTTTATTCAGCATTGAACTATTCTACTGCATACACATATATTGACTAACTCCAGGTTTCTCAGTCAGTTAAGATATTAGGCTTATACTCGAGAGCAACACTTTCTGAGCGGAACAGTTTCACTATCGTTGTCTTCAAGTCCTAACCTGATTTTCTAACTCTTAATTCTAACCCAGTGACATTGGGGTGTTTGCATATGGCCAATGTATTGGGGGTGTGTCTTAATTCAGCTCATGTTTAGGATTTGTGACTAAATTAAAGAGGAATTCTTTCTTTTTGTTTAATAACCTGTCGGTTGCAATTCCATTAAGACGGATTGCTTCTGTCAAACGTTTAGTTTGAATGTGACAAACATGCTGTGGGAAAGTTTATGTTTAATTGTCCAGGGGTGAGGAATTGTCACCTTATTGTATATTAATAATTAGTAAACCCATTTAGGTGTCAAGTAAGTTGAAAGCAAGTTCAGACATTCAACAGGTAAAGGGTATCTATATACAAATTCTGATAGTTATATAATTTAATATTATTGAACCATAATACTACATATACATTAGCCTTTACCTATTCATACATAAGGCAATGCAAGGAAGATTCCCGCAATAATTGCGGTGACGTAGCTCTTTTTGAAAGAGGCTGAAGAAGAAATGGATAAATATCATTTTCAAATGATATATGAAACACACGTAAATAAGGGGGAAAAAAGAAAAAGAACGAAAAATTAAAAGAAAAAAGGGAATATCATGGTGATAGGAGCTTGTAATTCTTCTCTACAGACTGTTTCAAGATGGCGACGTTATTTTTTTGGGTCTATTTCTTTTTTAATGATCCTTATGCTCATGGTACCATTGTGGGAAGTTTCATGCTTTTGCCAAAAGTGCATGATTATTTTTCATAGCCGCTCTACTAATGTGTTTTTTCAGCGACATACTGAGTCTCTTCTATCAGAAGAATTGTAATTTCTGTCCATATGATATATAATTTTATTTATATATATATAGCCTATGTAGTAAAAATGCGTTGCATGTAACATTAAAAAGAACACTCTATTAGGACAAACATGCAATGGTTCTAATATCATAAGGAAACAAACTAAATTCAATTCAAGTAGACTCAATTGCTCTGTTCATTTTCGAAGATAATTTATGAAGCACAAACTGGGATCAATTTACCTTTTCCCGTCCCCATCATTATGGTCATGGTACCACTGTGGGAAGTTTCATGCTTTCTGTCAAAAGTGTACGATTATTCTTCATCAGTTCGTCATGAATTTCAAGCATTGTAAATCGGTACCTTCTGGTAGATTTACACTCAATTGACGCCTAGCTATTGATTTACTATAATTCTAACAATCAAGCCTTTAATTACTGTTGAGCAACATTTCTTGCCTGTTTATGCCACAGTTTATAACCGATAAGATACAGTAATAATTTGACGTAAAGATAATCCAGTCACAAAACAGACTGATATTCTCACTCAAAATGTGTACAGTATAGATAAGATAAAGATAAGACAATAACTTTTATTTTCCTCGTAAAATAAAACAAGGAAATTCATCTTCCATTGACATATAATGCTAAATATAAAATAATTAAAAAATATAACATTCATAACTTCAAAAAACATCACAAGGCCTAGATACAGCTATTACTATAATATAAATTAATACCGTTATTCTGTATTGTAGTTACCATTAAATCTAACAACACCTTCATTGTATAGATGGATAGCATAATTGCCACAAAAGAGTATCGAAATCTATTAATACGCTTGGCACTCAGTGCTCTAAGTCTAATTCCAGACCTCATGAAAATAAACAAATTATAAAGTGGATGCGACCGGTCTTTACATATTTTGCATAGCATATTTCTAACACTTTTGATCACAATGTCGTCGGCATATTTCATAATCTTAACATTTAGTTGTGAAATCAGCAAGTAATAGGAGGCTATTTTAAGAAACAGGTCTTTTTTTGTAATAAAAGTCTGTTAATTTGTTTACACTGTAGATTGATAACACTGTAAACTGACCCGAAATTTATCAAGCGGAGAGTAATCAATGCAGGTACACCAGCGGCCTTTTAAAGTTACATTATACCATAGAGAAAATAGTTCTATTTTCTCTATGATTATACATTGTACGCTCTGATAAACTGAAAAAGTATTTTGTAGTCTAAAATGATAATGTTGTTTTAGTAACGAGAGGTATCGGGAGCCTCCCGTTTGCCTCCCATCGTAGTGTTGTAGTATTTGTGCATCTGCCAGGCCTGTGCACGGTTTTCGTCCATCTGTGGTCCCCAATCAGCTCTGGGCCTGCTCATTGCCCTCCAACGCTACAAAAATAAGTAACGATAGGCCTATTAGATCTACAAATTTATGGCAAGCTTTTTGAACTCAATCAATACCGTATGAAAATTTTCTTGGATAATAAAAATATTATTAGTAGGCCTGTTATCATTAGCTCAAAAATGAATTATCGTATCAAGTATGGTGTTCTTGAATGTGTGTTTGGATTTCTTTTGTTTTAGAATAATCAAACAGAATAGCCGGATATGCCTGTGCGATAAATGTTCGTGTGGAAAGCTTTTGATTTTCTACTCCTCAGTGACCATTTTGCGCAACTCAGTTTCCGTCCAAACATGCATAGAGAATTCTGACGAATACTATAACTCAGCGTCTTCGCATGCGCAATGAACTCGCACAATCGAAAATTAAATAACAGCAATAAGTGAAAAGAAACTGTATAGAAATATATACAGAATATGGTTGCAGATATGTTAGTGTGTAGGCCTATGTATATCATGTGCAGTACGAATACGTGTGTGTTTGTTTTCAGCTCAGTACAGGATTTTAATAGTTACTTACGTCAGCAACGCTTCCACTTGCCATCAAAAATTCGTAAATCATAACCAAAGGAATAAAGACGATCGTGAGTACAGTGATGACCCAGCCAATGACACGTCCCCAAAGTGGGTAGAACTCGTCATTGTATTTTGGCATGCTCCAGTTCATCCAATTATAAAGCAACACAAACTGAAATATAAATTGGATCATCGTATTCAAACCAATTTATCAAAAATTTCATCCACTCATTCATTCATCCACTCATTAATTTATCCACTCATTCATCCATCCACTCACTCATCCATCTATCCACTAACCCATTCACTCACTCACTCATCCATCCACTCACTTATCCATTCCCTCACTCATCCATCTATACTAGGTCCATGATCCATCCATCATTCATCCTTCCATACATCCAATCACTCATCCAGTCACTCATTTATCCACTCACTCATCCACTAACTTATCCATCTATCCATCCATCCACTAACTTATTCAATCACTCATCTACTCACTCATCTATCCATCCATCTTCTCACTCATCCACTTACTCATCTATCTATCTCTCCATCCATCCATCCACTCATTCATCCACTAATTCATCTATTCATCCATCCACTAACTTATTCAATCACGTATCTACTCACTCATCTATCCATCCATCCACTCTGTCATCCGTCCATCTATCTATCAATCTATCGATCCACTTACTAGTCCATCCGTCTATCCATCCATGGGCGTCGATCGGTGGGGGACAGGGGGACGCGTCCCCCACTTTTCAAAGTGGCGGGGGGGACGTCATATCGATTGCACCCCCGCCCACTTTTCACTAATATTCTATAATTAAAACCCCACTTTTAAAAGCGAATGGAAAGAATAACAATTACGCATGACTCATGAATTTTGTCTGTTCACTTTTCTAAGTGCGGTACGTATTTTCCGGACCAAAACCGAGTAAAAACGCAATTGTTTAAACATTTCGTAACCATCTCAAAACCCCACTAGATCGATTTTATGGGTGCAACGACTATCAGAGGCTAAATGTATTGTGAAAACAATGTACTGAACGTTGTTAAAATTGGAAGCATATATCCTTATCAGGCCAAAATTTTTACAAACTCAAAAGTGCACAATTTCTACTATAAACGATTTATTCTTTTTGTATATTATTATGACCCGTACGTATGTACTAGTGTTTAATATTATCTACATACAAAGGATTACTTTATTTTCTAATTTCAGCCTTTAACACGGATATGATGTCTACCTATTTCGATTAAGTGATAAGCCTACCAAAAGTTTACAAACTCCAGTGTTACGATGACGCAGTCTCGCAATGATGCCATAATAATCAGTGGCAGATTCAAGTGGGGCCGAGCCGACCCTAATTTTTTCAAAATTATATTTTAAAAATGAAAAAAAAAACAAAGGAATATTATAATTAGAATTTAGGTCTGAGAGTGCCATCTCCGGCAATCTAGAGGTGTCATAATCATAAATTTTCTTTCCTCAGCCCCAAACATGGTGGGGCTGAGGTGATCTGCTTTCCCAACGTGCAAGTCCTCCCTGTCCCCCCCCCCCTAATTTGCTGCTCTGGAGCCGCCACTGATAATAATAAATTAAATAAATCACCTTTATGTTTGTGAAATCAAAATGCTAATGTTTTGTGTGCTCCCTATCTCCCTAGTCCTGTTTGATCGTAAATTAGACGGTATTATTTCCACTCACAATAATTTATCGCAATATTACTTACACAAAAGAGAAATTCAAAAAGAGGAAAAAAGCAAAAACTGCTTGATTGATTTTAAAAGTACTGTACATGCAAAAAGACTAAATTAATGACTGTTTTAAGTTTATCTTATTTGTTTTTCATAGTTCGAATTTTGAATACGTTACAAGTTAATCAGTAGATAATAAATCATTATTTTTATGAATGTTAGTTTGCACGAAATATATAAGCGGGCATAATTATGACTAAAAAGGATAATTTTAAAAACTTTTTATAAGTATTTCAGTGGCAGATTCAAGGGGCCCAGCCGGCCCACCATCACTATTTTTTTTTCGAAATTTGAAAGTGGAGAAAAATTAAAATTATATTCAAATTCAATCTGAGAGTGCCATTTCCGACCAACTGGAGGTGCCATAATCATAAATTTTCACCAACCATGGTGGGGCTGAGGTGGTAGTCCAGCTACACTCTCCATCTCTAAAAGTCCCTCTCTGGGCCTAGCACTATCAATTAAAATGCTATGCGCCAGAGCTTTCGTGGCTTCCCCCCCCCCCCACTTTTAGCCACGGATCGACGCCCCTGTATTCATCCATCCATTTATTTCAACAATATTTTGTGTGGGTGGTTCAGCCCGAACTGATCAATAGACCGAATCGGCTTCTCCAGTTATTACTGGTCACGTGACATATAGTGGGTATGAAACATCAACATCGTAAACCACAGTGCGCTCATTGAACACAGTATATTAAGTTATGATATTTTTTAGACAGCGACCCAAAGTAAAGTAAGGCAGTAGACCTACGTTTATTTATTTATTTTATTTATTTATTTTTTTTTTAAATAGTGATTTATGCATTACATTGGCAATCTCCGTGCATTTTATTTAGGCTCATGCAATGCTGAATTGATCAAACGCCCTCTCCAAGTTCTATTTCAAAACGTAAATAAAAAACCAGCCAAGTACGACTGGTCTGAAATACATTTCACAGCAACACTAGACATGCGAAATGTAATCAAAACTAATCAGCCAAGCATGAGGTGGGCCTGTTCCATTAATGATGGCGGAATCAATTTTCGCTGCAGTCCATCCAATGCCATGAACAACGCTTCCCAGTGCGTGTGCCAAATTTTTAATGGTCAGAGCATGGAGTCAGAGTACCGCGATCACGAGCCCTATGCTAGACATTAGAGGCTAGGCCTATGTGGGCTGGGATTTGCAACAGGTCTTGAACTAGGCCTTTATTAGGAGGCCTGGTCCTAATCTAGGACTATAATATAGTACAATTCTGTATAAGTAGTCATATGATTACAGGTTTACATTGTACCAAGGTCTAAATTAACGATCGCATTTATTTTTCATTGAAAATTATATAAAAAAAAATTTAACTTAAGGATTTTACAATATTAAAAAAAAAAACTGCTGGAAGCTACGGATATTTGACGAATTTTGGTAAATTTTTATTAGTTATTTGATAGTCATCAAGCTACCGTAATGACTTCATGTATGTTTTTCGAAATTACAAAACCGATTTTTTTTTTTTATTAAAACAACGAGAAACAAAGTGTATGCAATGTAACCAACTACCCTATTTTCAAATCGGTTTTAAATTTTATATTATTTAAAAAAAAACAAAAAAAAAACCCACCGTATTACATTACAATATACTCTCCTCCCATCATGGCGAAATCCAGGTTTTTCGAGTCGGGTTGGCGAAATCTGTCCAGAATACGGTCTTTCTCTGTCCAGAATACGGGCTGTATGAGGGCGCTGTTGTCCAGAATACGGCAGAGCCGTAGATAGAGACAGTTTGGTGAACTCCGTTTCACGGGATTCGATATACGCGCGTGTGATTGGGTAGATCGCAATCACATGACTTACACCGGCCATGTTGTCACCAAAACAAAACGTTAAAGCTATACGCACGCATGCGCCTGGGATGTTTGGTAACGACATGGCGTCCATGCGCCAAGTTGGCCAAACTCTCTCTATCTACGGCTCTGGAATACGGGCTTTCTCTGTCCAGAATACGGGCTGTGAAATCTCTCCAGAATACGGGCTGTGAAAGCTGTCCAGAATACGGACTATATGGGGGCGCTGTTGTCCAGAATACGGGCTTTCTCTGTCCAGAATACGGGCTGTGAAATCTGTCCAGATTACGGGCTGTAAAATCTGTCCAGAATACGGGCTGTATGGTGACACTGTTGTCCGAAATACGGGCTTTCTCTGTCCAGAATACGGGTTGTATGGTGGCGCTGTTGTCCAGAATACAGGCTTTCTTACATCATATTCTATTTTTAGAAGCTTTCTCTGGCCAGAATACGGGCTGTATGGTGGCGCTGTTGTCCAGAATACGGGCTTTCTTACGTCATATTCTATTTTTAGATTTTGGAACATCAGCGGTATGTAAACGGTAAAATTATTTTTTTTAAATAGCAAGCAAGAGTATGGTAAATGGTAAATTTTACGATGTTCATGAATTTTCTAAGCTACAGTTGTAGGTCGATATTGCAGTGTAGCATATAGGAAACTCATGTTTGCCTGGCCTATGCCTAGCCTCTGCCGTCTAGGCCAGAGGCCTAGAGGCCTACGCCAGTGGTGGCGCCAGCGGGGGGGGGGGGTAAAGCCATATATATAAAGAGTTGCAACATTCCGCTCCTTGGTTTGCGAAAGTCAAGTGGTACACACCGTCCATTTTGTGTCATGATCTTCCCGATGAACACATGCAAAGTATCCCCCCCCCCCTCTGGCGCCACCACTGAGTTGTTATGCCTCGACTATATATATCTCTGTAGTCGAGTAGGTAATACAGTAGAAAATAACCCTTAACGGTACTGATTGCTCAACCAAACTTTATGAAACAGGCTGATGATAATAGGCCTACTTGGTATGGTACACCATAATGGCAATACGTAATTGGTTACGTCATATGATGATCATTATCCTCGGCAGTAACTACAAACATCCTATGATTTAATTTTGGATTTAAAATAACTGTAAAATAATACTTTTGCTACGAATGGGGAGATTCGTGTTTTTTGTTTTTTGTTTATTTTTTGTTTTGTTTTGTTTTTATGCTGCGATAGCATTTGCCAATGCATGAATAATATTCTTGGCCTATGCCTAAAAAGTACCTCGTACCTCAGCTGGCGAAGACTCACTGGAGCAGTATGCACGTCGTGAAGGTACCGTACCTTTCCTTGAAAAACTTTATTCCCACTATCCATTGGAGCATTACCAAACCAAACTTTGAAAATTAATTTTGGAACACTTTTAAGTGATTTACCAAATTATAACTCGCATTCCAACCAACCAATATTTGCAACATCTATGATGTGACTTACATCGACAACAAGGCGAAGCCATATTCAATGCACTGTGGTCTCGCGATCTCGATAGATGTAAATAACCCCTAATACCCACTATAAGTCACGTGACCCGAGCCACCGATTCGGTTTATTGGGACCTTCGGTACATACAATTACGGACAAAATAACAAAAATTTAAATTAAACTAAATCTTTAACTTAACAAATTAATAAGTTTAAAATATAAAAATGTATAATCAGAAAATGTGCATCAAATAATGATATTAAAAATTATAATAATAATAATAATAATAATAATATTTAAAAAAAAAAAACAGAAAAAAACCTTTAAGATTAGACCAAATCTGAAAAGAGTAGGAGTGAGGTTAGTAGTAGGAAATTCCAATAGGGTACGAATGACACTGTTTTGAATGAACAAACTAGATAAATGCAGTTAGGTTTCTTACAAAGTGAAGATGTGTGAGACTTTCGTGTTAAAATGTTAACTGAAATCAAAGTGTTTGTCGAACGTATCAGATAGAATATGATGGTTATCAACATGAAGATTAAAATTGTTATGAGCAGATTGGAGTTTGTGCAGAGAACCAAGTAGCATAGACTTTGTTAAGAGTTGGTTTATTAGATTGGATATTCGTTTGGCTTGTCATTTTGGGATTGATACTAAAACTGAGATACTTACAAGAAGCAAAGATGGAGTGATAACAGTCCAATTCACTTGCCACCAGAAGAATAATGGGAATTTTAGCAAGATCGTGTCGCCAAGCATCGATCTGATATCATTTGTAAATCGCTTGATTCCATACACCCATGAGACAGCTACGAGCTCAAGAAGTCCGAACATGATCAGACCGATAGTTGGTATGGACGAATCAACAATAGAAACCCAGTAAGCGCCCGACCTGCTCACGTACACCAAACTAAGTACGTATCCCATTATACACACTGTTAGCCTCACAAGTGTTTTTCGTTTTTGCAAGACACTGGGAAATCCATCGCATATAGCAGTCACGACAATCTCAGTAAACACAAACTGTAAAGACGAAACCTTATTTTCTTAAATGGTCCAACATTAAAACCCCAAAATTATTAAAAATGAAATTGCTACGATAAAATAACTTAAGTTTTTGCTGATTTACATGTTTTAAATCTTTTGTAAAAAATTAACCGCCAGCCACAATCACTATGCAAAAATAACGTGTGGTTTACTTACCTCACAGCAAAATCCAAGGGTTATCAGCATAAAAAAAAATAGGATAGCCCAAAAATTAGACCCTGGAAGCAGCGATAGTCCTTCTGGATAAACGATAAACGCTAAACCAAAGCCTAAAACAAAATATTCATACTGTCATTTTCAAGTTTTAAGAAAACAATCTTATTTTATAATATTAAGTAATTATTACTTTGTTAAACTTGATCATTTTTTTCGGTCCCCTTTTTTAAGAGCTCCTCCATTTCTATCTGTATGGTGTCACTGACACGGCTTTCTTGGTGAATCTAGTGCTCCTTTCCTTTTCTTTTACATATCTGAAAGCCTCAAATAAGAGACCAACAAGATACTGTAAAGGCCTATTCGATAATTAAAAAAACAAAATTAAAAAAAATAATAAAAAAATAATAATAATAATAAATAAATAATAATAATAATAATAATAATAATAATAATAATAAAAATAATAATAATAATAATAATAATAATAATAATAATAATAATAATAATAATAATAATAATAATAATAATAATAATAATAATATCCTGAATGTTATCACGTAATATATCACCATAACAAAGTAATCATTTGAGGAGATTTACAGCATTGTCTTCAGTCTAAATACCAGTATTTCCTTCCTGACCAAACGTCTATATGCGTCTAAGAACGCATTCTTCTACGAGCGTCCAACTCGAAACACATTCTATAATTACCCATTTATAATGTTACGGTCAAAAAACCCTAAGACACAATTGACAACAAAAATTAGGGTCGGTCAAAATTAATTAATTTTTTTAATGTTGGTATTGACCTAGGCCTAATGTAGGGTTTAGTGCCACCAATCGCTTTCATCATTGATTTATATTGATGGATGTCTAAAAATCATGATAAGGGTTCAAAAAATATTTTTTAAAGCTTAAAAGCAAAAAAAAAAAGAAAAGATGAATGAAGTTAGGTTTTAGTGAAAGAATGAATGAAATAAGTTTAAATGATTTGGGGGACCGTCTATTGTCTTGTCACCTTCCCGTCTTTTTAGCGAACAATAATAATATTAGCCGGAATATTATTCTCATAAATGACTCTCTCCTACCCCTAAAGAATAAAAAAGTTGCTGACTATTTACACTGTTTTGCTAACAAGAACTCTACAGGGGCAAATCCAGAGATGTCCGAAAGAGGGCAGAAGGTGGGGCCCATCGAGATAACACCACCCTAGGAGGTCCGGGGGCATCCCCAGTGAAATTTGTGTTTTATAGACGCCCGAAAATAACCTCTTAAGCGTTTAGGGCGATAATTTTTTTTAATCTTTTTTTATACTTTCAATAAGGGGGAGGGGTCCGGCTGCCCCTGCTCTAACATGTTAAGGGTGGTGGCAGGGCCGGACGTCGACGACCATCGTCCCCTCTATGTATCTGCCCAGAAAATAATCATTGTATGAAAAGTCCGCCAAATGCTGCAAGTATATTGCCATAACACAACATTCTAAAGCATAATATTGATACTGCTTCGTCTTTAACTGTAATTTTAGAAAGACATTTGCAAACGAAATTCAAATTACTTTAAATAAGACCGAGCCAATAATAATTGTGTTTATAATGTTAAAGCAGGTAAGATACTATGACTCTGGTAAAGAATATGGTAAAAATAGATTATACGATACATCCTAAAATGTTGTGATGGATTTAGTCTGTAGACATTCCTTATTCGTCACATATTGCCTTATTTTAGTGATTAACATGGTCACTTTATTGCTGCGAGTCACACCAGACGAGCAGCGATAGGCCAACTAATTTCGACCACAAATCTCGACCAAACTAACGCCACTTTATCACACGACGTCAGTTAAAATCTCGATTTTTCCAGAATTCGAGATGAATTTTCTGGAGAGTGTGGGATCGTTTTCGGTTTTCAGCTCGATAGTATTCGTGTGTTGCTCAGAGGATTTCTGGATATCCACATGGCTTAGTTAAGTTGTCGGCTTTCGATCCAGGTCATTGTCTTTGCAGCTTGTCGGTTTAACATGTGCTTTCTGGATGTTTACAGTAGAATTGATTCGGTAAGTACTGCAATGTACAGTACTCTTTTCTAACATTTATAATGTCAAGTCTGTTTTGTATTGTAACTTCTAGGGTTAAAGACGTAATACAATACTCAGGATAGCCTTCAATGTTAGAGTTTTCATTAACACACTTTATTAACTCGTGTTGTACAAAGTATATCGCCATCTTGTCCCAGTATACAATGCGGGATCGAGCTACCAGAGGGCATGCGATTATTAATCATGCATGCAACATCTTTCCTTTTTTGGAAAGAAAACAAATTAGATATCACACTGTACTAGAATGTGTATCATAACATGAATTTACCAATAAGTCAATTGAGTTTGTACTTGTAAGAAAATGAATAAAACAAACTCCACAATGTTAACACTGACTTGACTTGAGTGTACTTATGAGTTAAATTTTCCATACAAATTTAGTATTTTGTTGTCCTTTTCTTTATTGTTTTTTTTTAAAACAATCCAGAACTGGGAAATAGACATCAAATATGCATATTCCAAAACATCAAAACAATTGTTATCTAAATTCCAAAGTCCCAAATTCGAGAATTTAGTGACTCTAAAACTACTCGAACAAAGTTCTACAATGATATCAAACAGTGAGAGCACTAAACTTTATGCTCATTAAGGTTTAATATTTCTTTATTCATTATAATGTCCAAAATAAACATGCTTTAATGCTCTGCTTTCAAAAATAATGTTATAACTGTGCATAATATGAGCATCCAATTTTCTATGCTCTTTCAACACTTGAAATCAATTTAATTTGTTTGAAAATGTCTAAAATTAAACATAGTCCTTAAGGTAACCAGGTTTTCTCTTAACTCTGTACTGCGTCTAATTGATGCACTGCTGTTTTGAGTCTCTTTTGGCTTCGTCGTACATTTAACGCGAGGAATATCTTTCTGGGTTGGGGTTTCGCTGTATGTTTGCGAAGTTTAAATTTGTGTGGAAATGTATGATCGATGAGAGTGAATGACTTAGCGCTCAATCGAAGATGTCGTCGATTCCTGATGTACTCTGCGCCGCATTCTGTTTGCATTTTGTAAGATCTGCGATTGACCATTTCTTTGACGCGTGCTTTCTTCCTCTCTTCGCAGTGTGGCTTCGGTTTCATTTTAGAACTAGAAATAGAAACCGGGCGATGAACAAGATTCCTCAACAAGATCGCATATGCAAACTGTATGTAACAAGAATTTAGTGCAGAATGAGATCCATTTTCTTTTATCTGTTCATTATAATACAATCTAAGAAAGAAGTTTATTACACCATTATATATCCGCCTATTAATCAATTATTCTTACTCTTGTCTAATGTTAAGTTAACAAGCCAATTATAAAAAACATGTATTCTTTGCGTATAAAAAAACTATTAATAGTGTTTTGCCACGTTGGATTTCCATGTTTAAATATAAAGATTTGTTATATACTGTTAACTCGCCATACATGATACTTGGCTTGTTTTGATTAGAGCTACAGACGAGCATCAGTCTCTGCAGTCAATTTTGCCTATACTGTACTACGGCGAGGCGAAGCACAAAACGTTAGAACAGGTTGCTTGGAACGTTGTTTCATTGCGACTTGTAATGCTTTAGAACTAACGGAAAAAGACGTCCATCGTTGAATGAGCCTAGTCATTCATTAGCAGCTTGTTGAGCAATTTGGTTTTCTGGCCTTGGAAAGGGTTTGTAGTACGACGGCGGGAATTTCTCCAACTCATTCAAGTTAGGCTGTGGATTGCAGAGCAAAGGCGATTATGGTTAGCCATCAGGGCCATAATGAAAGCGCCGTAATCACAATGAAAGCGCCATTCATAAGCGCCGTAATGCCATTCATTTTCAACCAATCACAGGTTTAGGATGACGCCAAAAACAACAGGGTCATAATGAAAGAGCCGTTAACTTGTTAAAAAAAAGCGCCGTGATCATAATAAAGGTGCCGTAATCATTATGAAAGCGCCATAATCATAATGAAAGCGCCGTAATCATATTAGCGCCGTCATGCTGTTTTACTTTTAACCAATCACAGGCTTAGAATTACCCTAACAAAGTCATAATGATTACGGCGTTAACTAGTTCGATAAAAGCGCCGCTTTGAGTAGCTGGCGCAAGGGCCACACTATTGGCCAATCACATTCCTTCTTTCATGTTTGCTGAATTGAACGAAAATGTGATAGATGGTTTGACTGGGCGCGCTAGTATCGCTTTTGGAGCCATTCAATACATGAACCGCAATGGATGTACAAAATTCAAAATTCCTTCTTCAGGTACGCCTAAATGCATCCATCAATCGTCTTGTCACTAAAGCAGTTAATGATGAGGATGATGGGGATTTCAGCCCGCGTGATAAGTAACTAAATCCTTAGAATAGTCCTCTATCTAGCCTACACCTAGGGTAGGCCTGCCTAGCCTAGCTAAGCCTATAGAGTTACGTCAATCATTAAACATAAAACATTATTAAAACATTAAACCCATTAAAAATAATTAAAACATTATTATTATTATTATTATAATTATTATTATTATTATTATTATTATTATTATTATTATTATTATTATTATTATTATTATTATTATTATTATTATTATTATTTAAAACATTAAAATAATTAAAACATTATTAATATTATTATTATTATTAATAATAATATTTTAAAAAAATTAAAATCATTAAAACATTTCATTCATCACGATTGAGAGAAAAAATGTGGGTCTTTGATTTTCTGATCTTCGGTCTTCGATTTATAGACACCCTATATGGGTGTCTACACAACGACACCCACCTTCGGTCGCGCCAGGATGCTCTCGCTCCTCCGATCCGCCGACTGCTACGAAAGACGGAATGTGATTGGCAAAAAATGTGACCCTTGCGCCAGCTACTCAAAGCGGCGTTTTTCTAATTTTTATAACAACGTTATTATTGAACAAGTTAACGCCTTAATCAATTATGACCCTGATGGCGTCATTCTAAGCCTGTGATTGGTTGTAAAAATGAACAACATGACGGCGCTTTTTATATGATTACGGCGCTTTAATGTAACTGTCATGAATTCCTACTT